GGGACCTTTCTGAGCTGCGTTGCGCACCCATTGTTCCAAGTCGAAAGGCCCCTTGCGGTGAGCATAACAAGCAAGATCCATAGCGAGGCCATTCGTATATCCTAGGAGGAAATCCAGCCAATTGTATTCGACAGCATGCTCGTATATGGCAGCAGTAGAAGTCGGATCCTGAGTAAACGTAGTGAAAAGTTGCTCCGCCACCCATTGCTTATCTTGACGCCACGCTCCATGAAGGGCTAACTGGTATCCTTCCTCTTGCTTCAGGATAAAAACGACTAGTGTTCGGAGGACGAAGCTTTGCTGAACGTTCGTCCATGGCTGTGGCAGGGTCAATGCTGAGCACAGGAACACAGGGAGGTCATATTGAACGATGGCCTTGATAAGAAGTTGGCTCTCAGCGACTGCCCAGGAGGCCTGAGAGAACAACGAGAGGTCGAACAAAGCTCTCATGGCATCCAAAGATCGTAGGGGTGATTTTGCTGCACGCTCTCCTTGTAAACGAACAAGCTCGGGGCCATCCGCAAAAAAGTCTGGAGGGAAAGTAGCGCGAAGATTGGGGATTTGCGACACATCGGTTCGAGAGACAAGGAAAGCCGTGAGAAAGGACAGCTGAGTGTCACGATGTTCCCAGTCACCACCCCAGAGTTTCTGAACATCCAAGGTCGGGTCTTCCGACGCAGCTGCCAAGAGAGCCGAATATAGCTTGGCGAATTGTTTTGCATCCAGTCTCAAGCCCTCCCGATCGAAGTTTCGGAAAATCAACGGCCAGCTTATTTGTTTTTCACCGTAATGTGACTTGACGGCTGCGAGGAATGTTTCAAGGGAAAATTCCTGCCAATGTTGAGACAGAACCAAGAATAACAGTGCACTAGCAAGATGTTCCTCACTCCAGCATTCGGAGCCAGCTGAATTGATGGTTTCAGTCACAGCGTCCGGGTTTGAAGTTGCTTTCGGCCCCTTTGAGTGCAGCTGACGGACTAGAGTGTATCTCGGGTTGATGAAATTGAACATTTGTAGGGCAGATGCAATCTCAAAAGGCATCTCCACGCCCAGTCTCGTATAGCGTAGATTGGCTGCATATACGAGCTTAGCCTTCACTTCGTCCGTGAAATTGCGTGGTGGGTACAGAATAAAGCGCTCAATCGTCATTCCGATACAAGCATTCTTATAGTCCTTGGTTATCTCCGACGGGGTCGCAAGGCTTTGGAGGAATGGAGGTATCGAGTTGGAGAGGATGGCGTCAGCTAAAAGTGGGAATGGTGAGACACCGATCACTACTAGAAGCATCAAAAGTGACCGACTTACCCTTTGCGCGCAAATCCGACTTGTTGGCCATCTTGAAAGCCAGCGCAAGTGAAACTTTCAAGATCGGATCAAGTTTAAAATGATCCAGAAAAGTCGAAAGGTCAAAATCTCGAAAAATATCGCCTTCGGAAGTATCTACTGTCTCCGCGATCTTCTGGGCCTGTTCGATATCTTGAGATACCTTTTGCATCTCTTGTACCAGGAGAGGATAGTTTCCGGCATTTTCGACAGACTTATTCACACCGGGAAAGATCTGAGGGGCGTTGCCTGTGAGAAGGCGCCTGAAATATTTGGAAAAGACCTCCATGCCGTTGGACTCAACAAGCTAAAAACAGCAATATATTAAAAATAGCTCGCGTTGTAATGATTCCGAGTATAAATGAACCGACTTACTTTGTGGATCTGAGCAGCTTTCGTGTCCCACTTTTCTCGACCTTCTTTCTCCGTAATTGAATCTAGGAGAAGAAACACTTGAGCAATAGATATTTTTGTTAGCGAAGACTGGCTTGCGTGAGCTGCAGCTGCCGAGCCTGATTTGTCAGAAGGAAACCCTGTAGGTGAGTTTACCGTTGTCCCAGACGACAACGGAGAGAAGGTGGCGCCTCTGGAAGATCCCGTCCCACCTCCGCCTCCCCCGGAGCCTCCACCACCCGCGATAGAGCCCGCTGTGGAAGCCAGATGTGACCCAGACGACGGGGTATGGGCTCTGAATTTAGGAGACGAAAGAGATTGTCCGGGCTGCTGGTGTTGTTGCGAGCCAGATTGGAAGGAGGTGAAGGGTGACGGTGTGGAGGCAGGTGAGGGCGCGTTCCGGCCGCCTGGATAGCCCCGTGCGGAACTCAGAACCGCAGAGAAGGAGGAAGTCAATGGAGATGAAGTTGAACCGCCCGGACCAGGACTACTGGACTGAGGTGGCCCTCGGGAAGAGACAGAGGGGAAAGGTGACGATGCGAGGTTGTTGGTCGCAAGCGGAGTCAGTCCACGGCGAACGCTGGACTGGGACACGGATGGACCCCAGGCAGATTGCTGTGACCTTCCAGGCCTGGTCGTGGAAGACTTATCGGTGCCAGAAGCAATCGACGATTGGGAGGAAGGAGGAGGGGGAGGGAAGGTCATCTAGGAGACGCGATCATTTGATCTGAAGGCGACGACAAATTTTTATTCGTGACGACAGTCGACGGAAGTTTGCAACCTAATTATGACGCTGTAATTTATTTAATTGCAATAAGAGTAAATCTTGCGGTGGCAGAGCCGAAATAGGATGGCAATGAGGATGAATGTTGCTTCGTGGCACAGGTTGGAAGTTCCGAGTTAATGACGGACAGAGAAAGAGAGGTTGAGTGGACGGCAGGTGGAGATGATGCCTGAGGCTGACAGCACTAGCTCGGATTGGTGCTTAGTTTCGACCTCCACAGGCTGCAAGGCCCCAAGGCTGTCTTAGTACTAGGGCTTTGGAACATAAACAATGATGCCCAAGAGGACTACCTAACGGAAGCAACCAGAGAATTGAACCGCCATCAGGTTCTGTATGTAATTGATAAATACGAATCCTGTTTTACCGAGCATCTCTCTGTACAAAGTTTACGTTTCTACATTTTTTGCTGTCAAATGTCGCCGGCCTTCGTGATTGTACTGCATGCACGTGATCCGATGTTCCTTAGATTATGTAATATGTTAGTCACCATGCAATCGTTGCCTGTGTCAACAGCTACAAGTACTCCGACTCTCTAGAGACAATTAAGCTTACTTATAAAGGCGGTTTATGGCACCCCTTACTTACTACCATGCGTGATCAGGTTTGGCTTAGGCGATTACCTATCGGGAACTGCTTTCAGGTGACAGAGATATGAGCGTCCGAGGGCCTGAGATGACTCTATCTATTACAATTGAAATTGATGAAAACTTGTAGAGCATACGTGCGAAGTAAACATCATACCTATCTCTGAAGATAAGCATTGCCTTTATATGACGCTTCTTCCTCCTGAAGCTAAAGTCAACCACTATTCTCGGGCATTAGGGCATATACGTTTACTATTGAAGGGATAGACAATTATTAATATAGGAGGTGGGAGTGATAGGGTTTTTGAACCCCTTAAGTTCCCTCCAAACTTGCCTCTTTGGAAATAAATTCGGCTTGCGGGTGGTATATTAGACATAGATAGGAAAACTGACGAGTACAACGAGGTAGAATATGGAGATATCAATTCTTTATTAGTCAAGAGTTTTAATTTTTCTTTCCGTTTCTTTCCTTTAGGGAAAAGAGAAACAAATACAACACCTAACTGACATAGTATGCGGAGTTACTTGCAGACTTTGAAGTTTAAAGGCCAAATATATGGGAAGCTTCCACCGCAACTTGTAACATGCAGGTATGTCTGTGTGTATCTTCATCAACCTGGTGTTTATGACACTTTGTCTGTAAAAGGATGACCCTCAACCCTTTGGGGTCCTTTTTGGGGAGAGAAAACAGGAAACCACGCACTGGGGCCACATTGCTTTCATCAGTTTCATGTAAAAGGAGCCTCGGGGCTCCTGGGCGGAACAAGTGAGCATGGTATTTCCAATCGGCGGTCCCGGATATTCTTGCGAAGTAATAGAGGCATTCCCTCATGCTTAGAGCATTGGGGGTGGAGGCCTGAGAGCCATAAATGACCGGGGAAACTAGGAAGTGGAACATTGATTGTCACTTTATGAATATGGCCTGTTCGTAGGTGCAAATAAAGCCATACCTGCAGCCATATTCGTCCATGTGTTTGGTCACTTGGCCTATTAGAGACGTTAGCCTGAGGGTAAATCACTACATAGTTTAGCATGTATATGTATGTACCTAGCACTCGACCCAGCATTTCCGGCCGCATGTCATCCAAAACGGTATGCCACGGACATTTAAGCCCACCCACTAGTCGGGTTTGCCCATGGTCGAGGGATGGCTGCGCGATTGTATCCTGATAAAAGTCGGGAATCATATGTAGTCCAGTCGATCTGTCACCAAAACCGACCGACAATCCTTCAGTAGCCAGTACATCCCCAACCCCGTTCAGTGCACTTTCCTGAATGCTTCCTGCAACTCCAGTCTTAGTTGCTACAATGTATCTCTTCGTTGTCCGAAGGAGGGCTGTGCACTTGGGGCACCGAGATGGTAGGCGCGAATCTGCGAACTTAGAGGCCTGGCGCTCAATAGAAAAATGATAAAGACGGCTTCTTTTGATCAGATTAATGATTTGCGTAACTTTAAGCGGCAAAAAAATGAGCCAGGGGTTAGATCCTGAGAGGGAAGCTGCTTGGAAGTTGGATCCCTCTTGTGGATAGCTAAAATCGTGAATGTAATTGTGGACTGAAAGATAGCTCTGAAAAGTGGCCATTAGGGAAGGCCAACTGATATGCATCAATGGAATTATAGCTTGTGGGTTGTATATCAAACTGGTGTAGTTAATATAGGGATATTGTCAAGTGACTAGCAAACTCAATATTGAACACAATCTGAAATAGTTAATCATATTATATCAGCAGTGATGTTTGACTCGCCCATATTTATTCAATTTTTATATATTACCTAAGGATGAACACTATATGATGAACCCCTTGTTTTGATTCTGATTTATCAAACAAACTCAATCCGACATCGCCTCTTCCAATTCATACGATGTATTACTCAACAGCCCTGTCCTTAGAAATCTCGAAAACGTTCACTCACAATGAGTCCACAAATAGAAGAATACACGCTCATCAAGTTCGAAAGATCACAGATCAGAATAGGAGTCCATGGCTACATTCTTGCAAAGCTCATTTCAGAGAGAGTTGACCGTGTTCTCGGAGAGAGACGGGCAGTGTTTTATGCTAGCAGAGCAGAGGATGAAATGGAAGCTGTGGTCAAACTTCGTTTTCAGTAAGTCCTCCTGGCTTCGTCGACGGGCACCGTACCCGCATTGATGTATGCTTTGAAGTACACTAACATTTTGACTTCCAGGTTGCAATCGATGTGGCTGGATGAGCCTAGATCGTACGCCGACCACATAGAGTGGGGAAAGAGGATCTTTCAAGATGAGGTCCACGCGCTTCAGCTCTTACAGCCACTTCGCGGAACGCCAATCCTCTATGACCATGGCGTGCTACAACAGACTGACCGGCATGATTACCCTGGTGGGGTTATTCACGCTATTGCGATGTCAAAAATGCCCGGAAAACCTGCCACCGAGTATGAGGATCTAAGTAATACGGAGCGTGCCTATCTCAAGAGCAAGGTGATACACATTCTTGAGTAAGTCAAGCACTTGAGTACCCACTATCTGTATAGCTGTTAATCGTGTCATATAGAGACATACGTCTTCTCGGCTGGGAGATGGATGATGGTGCCCCCGACAATATTATCTACGACCGCCTCACAAGAAATGTGTACTAGTTTGCCGCTCCTAGGTTTTTCAACATTGCGCTGACTCCACTACAGTTCAATCACATGTGTTGCTTATGGAACAGATACAAAACCCACCGAATCCCGGCCTATAACGGAAAGAGATGGCCTCGTCCGTATTCTTGGGCAGAACATGTGGTGGATGTAACTCTGATCCGTCATTCCCAATGGCCAATGACACAAAGTAACACCATATTCTGCTAGGTGAACGCAGTTCTATTCTTGACTAGATGAGAGGTAGACCCTCACAGAGGTGTATCCGTCTGATAGGCGATTTTACCCCTTCTGCGCGTGGAAGTAGTCCGGCTGTCGCTCTCCACTATGAACGGACTCTAGGGGGCGCTTACAGCTGCCTGTGGTCGGAAGCAACTCCAAGCGCCTCAATTTATCAGATCATGAACGAAAGCGAAAGGCAATTCCAGATGGCTGAGATATCATTCAAATATTATTGTGTGGGCAGTCTGGCCCTCAGATTCGATTCAACTCGTGTTTGCTGCACTGTCAACATTAAAAACAACATCGTACAAAACACACGACAAAAATGGTATTTAAATCCCCCATTCCGCTGAAAGACCTCAAGTTCAACACACCGGTGCCATATACGCTACACGTAGACCGAGAACTGCTCCATTTGACCAAGCAGAAGCTAGCTCTATCCCGATACCCCGAAGAACAGACCGATTTTGGCGAGAATAACTGGGCTCAAGGAGCCAAGGTTTCCCGCGTAAAACAGTTAGCAGATTTCTGGAAGGACCACTATGACTGGGAGGCCGAAGAGGTGCGTTGAGCTTCCCACTGTGCGACAAGCTAGCACTCACTAATCTGGAACAACAGCGCCACCTGAATGCTATCTTCAACCATTTCCTAGTCAAGATCGACGCCCCCGGCTATGGGCCCCTGGTGTTGCACTTCACCCACACCAAGTCTACCAGGCCAAGCGCTATCCCGCTTCTATTCTCCCACGGCTGGCCCGGCTCCTTTGTGGAAGCGGTGCGCGTTGTGCGCCCCCTGACTGAGCCCGAGGACGCAAAAGATCCGGCCTTCCACTTCGTTGCCCCATCAATCCCCGGGTTCGGTTTTTCGCCCGCGCCCTCCAAGTCCGGCGTCGGCCCCAACGTGGTTGCGCGCGCGTACAAGATCCTAATGACCGACGTTCTGGGATACCCAAAGTTCGTGACCCAGGGCGGCGACTTCAGGTCCTTCATCACACGTTCCATCGCCATCCAGTACCCCCAGGTTGTGCGCGCCCAGCATTTGAACATGTTCCCAGTGCCTCCTCCTACGTTGTGGTCGGCGCCATGTGCCTATCTACGCTGGTGTTTTTCAGCGCTGACATACTCGGAGTTCGAGCACGAGTCGCTGCGGGTACGCCGGAACTTCGAGCAGGATCAGAGTGGGTACCTTGAGGAGCAGAAGACCCGGCCACAGACATTAGGAATCGCGTTGGGGGATTCTCCCCTCGGACTGCTCGCGTGGTTTGTGGAGAAGTTTCATGATTGGGGTGACGTGCATGATGCCTTGAGTGATACAGATCTCATCACGTTGGTGATGATGCATTGGATTCAGGGCGCAACTCCCGGTCTGCGGTTTTACAGGGAAGCGTTCGGCCGTGGTATGCGTCAGGCTGAGAAGACCTTTGAGACATATGTTTCGGCGCCTTGCGAAGTCAGTATGTATAAAAAAGAGCAACTCCATGTAAGTCAAATATTTCATGACATGTGTCACGTAAATGGAAGAGTGTGTACTCATGAATCCAAGTGTCCTCGCGACTGGGCCGCTCAGGCCGCCAACATCCATTACTGGAGGGAGTATAATCGAGGGGGTCACTTTTCGTCTCTCGAGAGGCCGGATCTGTTCGTGCAAGATCTCCGCTCGTTCTTTTCCTCCCCTGTCGTTATGCAGGCATATATTCGGCAGTAGAAAAGGCAGCGAAGGGTTACGCGGGCTGTATGGTCCCATGTGATACAAGAAAAGGGGTTCTTCTCTAGATAGGGTAATGCATAAAATGTTCACTGAACTGCGTCACCGACTGGATGCCTTCAAAATGCATTACTATTTCCCTAATTAGAAACCCCAGAGTTTCCTAAGATCGGCCGCTCGATCCGAAGTCTTCCACCCTGTTTCATTCTCAATTCGAGCCAGATGTTTGAGCAAAAGTATCTTCTCCGTGGCATATTCTTCCTCCAGATTGGAGCGGGCGTGTTGAGAGGGTATATTTCGTCTTATGATATTAAGTATTGATGATGGGGGAAAGTGCACTTGATCGTCTGAAGAGCCTGGACAAGCCGATAAGGATGAAGACTTGCTGGCGAATACTGCTCCCGCAATATAAAGCGGTTGAAGCTGGTTGACCCAGTTCGCACTAAATGCATCAGCCGAAGTTCCATATTCCCTCTCTGTTATTCTTTTCAGAATATGAGTTGAAATGGGTCTCCTTTGAAACCTACTGAGATGGGTTTGACATAGATATGCCACAGAGTTCCCTCGCATGCCAAGCAACATCAACCTTAAAGCTGGTTAGTCTGGAAACTTCAATTGACTTCGTATAGCTCATATACGGTCCCAATATAATGTAATGCCAAGTGACAAGGAACACCTACAGCATCCTTAATGGGGGATGACGAAATCTCCGATTCTGGAATAAGGCCAGGTTGTAAGAGTAGCATGGATCCGGTATGGTAAAAGGTATTGCCGCAAACTAGGAAGGCTCAGAATAGAACTATATACGCAGGAAGGAAACAACTTACTAGCTGAGGCACTTGTGTATATCACGGCAGGGAATACCATGGGAGGAAGACAAGCGTCCCTCAGTAAAGGGCACACCTCCTGAGGGCGGAGCCGGTACCATTTCTGGAGCTCCCCCCACAGTCTAGAGACCAAGACAGCAAACGTAGACCCAGCTTTTCTTGCGCCAAATCCGGGCGCGGCTAACATATTGACAATCTGAGCAAATATAAAGATGGCAAAATTACAGTAGTCATCCACTTCTTCTTTCTTGGCCAAGGACTCGAGGGACGCATCATCCAACCAGAAGTCAGCTGGGATTAGTGTCGTCTTACCGCTAATAAAAGCCGCCCATACATCTACCAAAGGAATTAGCCATTATTATGAATGGGTCCTCTGTAAGTCATACCAATTCGGGCAAATGCCCAAAAACAGGATTTAACAATTCCCTGGCTCGAACCATTCCACTTCTTTGCCAGAAGAAGGCCAGCACATCCCTGTAGAAGTAATAAGAATATATACACGAGAGAAGCGAACGGCAGCACCAGCTGACCTTCAAATGCCGCCGCCACTCATGGACGTCGGAAGCCATCATTTCGTAAACGCACAGTAGAGTGCAGGTTGCGAGAACCGACGCCTCCGCTGTTGCGGGGTCTTGCCGGAGAAGGTGTTGTATTGTATATTGATATAGCTCTAGGGTGACTGGCCGCTGAACTTTCTCGACGTAGTCTAGTTGGCGGGAGGCGAGAGACATAGCAGCTGCTACAAAAGCCGTGGACTTCATCATCGAATGCAGGGATCGCATTGTGAAATGCATGTTGGAGTCGGTTGTCTCACACCACGTTCCAGTCTCTTGCATGAATGAAGAAATCAAACGAGCTTTTTCTGTGCCAGTTACAGGCAAAAGTGGTTCGTGCAGCGGTGACTCGTCCCGAGAAACCGCCAGTCCAAGCGAAAAAGGCGGAATATACGCCCCAGCCTCATGCGTAGCTATGCCATGGGGCCGATAGTGATAGACATCGGATAATGGGGAGAATGCATATTCAAGGAGCATGGCCTGGAGTGACTGCGCGATCTGTGTGTTAGGCTGACATAACAGATTACTGATGCTGAGGTCTCCGGTACTCAACCAATCGTTGGTTCCCGGAGAACGAGGCGTAGAGGATTCCTGTGAATGAAGATAAGAGGTATCCAGCGCGCTCGATCTGCCTTTAGAGCCACAGCCAGCTCTTTTCAACGCTGTGGCATCCGCTATGACAGATTTATCTGCATTAAACACGTCCTCAGTCTCGTCCTCATCCACCCCCGATCTGTCCGCCTCATGCGATTGGTCCAGAATAGAATCAGAAGTGTAAGTGTCGCCAAGGAAATGGTAGTCACGAGCAATTAACTCTGACTCATCTATTATCTAGAGCAATATGTCAGTACACGCACTAACGCTTCATCACCGACTGGCATAATGTACCGTCGGAACGGCTTGTGCTTGAGACGGCAAAGATTCCCGGCGCCTTTCAATAGCGCATAAGGAAGAAACTTCACTCTGGGATAAGCTGAGGTTGCGCGAGTGGTGAAAAGAAGCCTTGAGGCCCCATCGACAAGTTGTCCCACGAGTCTGGCAGTTCCTACATTGTGGACGGGCTCCATCGCCTGCAATGGTATACGTGAGCGAAGAGGCAACTCCATCCATATACCATGATATTCTTACACTTCCGGCGACGGCTACGACATTTCAGGCTGGAAAACAGTCAACTGCAGCCACCCATTAAATGGAGCTTCACTTTGGTCGCTTACCATCCCGACCTTGTCCGTTTCCACCGAATCTTAGTCGGACTGGCGGCTGCATCACTGTCCGGCGCCTCCATGTTTCATACAGGCTTCTAGCAAGGTCCTGAAACAGTACTAGTCTTGCGAGAAAGAAAAGGCGTTTGACGACTGGGGATGCGCTTCCTTCTGAGACGTCCACAGGTAAATGGAGGCACTCGATTCTGTTCATCGTCCATGAGTAAGTCACAAAAAATGTAGATCAGAAGCGAAGGCATTGCCGATTTAATCGAAGCGCACGATTGGGAAGAGGATCGGTCGTACTGGTGGAAATCGATAGCAATGTGGAGACTTCCCCAGAAGAAGGACCAGTCACATGCTACCAATTTGTGGGGAAAGGAAACGGCAACTGCAAGCGCCGCCAAGCAATTGCAACCGATGTATACGGTATACCAGCAACTATACAGAGTTACGACTATGTGCAAGCTCCGATTCTACTCCATATCAACGAATATGCCTGCATATTTCAATCCTTTGACAGAGCACTTAAATAAAGCCTTGGAGTGCTCGAATCATCTCTTGCTTACAGTCCATAAGTTCCTCCGCTAGGTACGCACCCTTTGAAGAATGGATCAAAGTAAGGAAGCCATCATCATTGGAGCT